CCAAGATTAGAACAACAATAATTTACAGATAGAATAACACTCAGAACTGACAGAGAATTTATCTGAATGGAAGTCAGACAGCCAAGAAGTTGAAGTAGACCCATACATCCAGACTGGTAGGAGACGACGAACCGGGCGGGCGCGGGGCTGGTGCGGGTCAGCGGCTCACGGAGGTCGGGAAAACTTGGGGTGAAATCAGCACGACAGCCATCCGGGGTGCAAGAACGCAGTGGTGATCCCTGAGTACACAAGCTGCAGCTGGTGGACTCAGTGAGGCAGCGATTGTGGACCAGGACAGAGCTTGCAGCCCAGGATCCCAGAGAAGGGTCTGAGCCCAGGAGAATGGAACTACTGCCATTGTTTCCTCCCGTCCCCGCTCCCGCTCCCGCCCCCGCCCCCACATATAATGTCACAATCTAGCGACTGGGGTGCCCAGCCCCTGTGAACACCTAAGGCTCCGCCCCCCACCATAACAAGAGTGACCAGACAGGGGGGGAAAAAAAAAAAGGAGAGACAAGGAAAGACATAAGACATGTTTCCAACAGAACAGATCAGTCCCCCAGGACTCATCCTTTTGAGCAACTAAGAAATAGCCAATCTATCAGATGCACAGTTCAAAACACTGGTGATCAGAAAGCTCACGGAATTGGTTGATTTTGGGCGCAATTTAGATGAAAGGATGCAGGTTACCATAAAAGAGATGCAGGAAGATACTCGGAGGAGAGCCAATAGTGAAAGGAAGGAATCTGAGTCTCAAAACAATACAGTGGACCAGAAGGAAGATAGAATCAACCAAGCAGGAAACCATGATGAAATAAGAATTCAAAAAGTCGAGGAAAAGCTTAAGAGCATCCAGGACACCTTTAAACATTACAACATCCGAATTACAGGGGTACCAGAATGGGAAGGGGAAAAGCAACAGATTGAGCACGTGTTTGAACAAATAATAAAGGAGAACTTCCCCAATCTGGCAAAGGGAACAGTCTTCCAAGAAATCCAAGAAGCTCAGAGAGCCCCAAAGAAGTTGGACCCAAGAAGAAACACACCAAGGCACATCATAATTACATTAGCCAAGGTAAAAATGAAGGAGAGAATCCTAGAAGCAGCAAGAGATAAGGGGACAGCCACCTACAAAGGAGTTCCCATCAGACTGTCAGCTGATTTCTCCAAAGAGACCTTACAGGCAAGAAGGGGCTGGAAAGAAATATTCCAAGTCATGAAAGACAAGGACCTACATCCCAGATTGCTCTATCCAGCAAAGCTCTCATTTAGAATGGAAGGGAAGATAAAGTGCTTTTCAGATAAGGTCAAGTTAAAGGAGTTCATCATCACCAAGCCCTTATTTTATGAAATGCTAAAGGGACTTATCTAAGAAAAGAAGATAAAGAAAAAGACATGTATAGTAAAAGGACAGCAAACTCACAATTATTAACAACCACACCTAAAGCAAAACCAAAAGAAACTAAGTAAACAACTAGAACAGGAACAGAACCACAGAAATGGAGGGCACATGGAGGGCTAGCAGCACGGGGGTTGGAGGAGGACAGAGGGGGAAAAGGTATAGAGAATAAGTAGCATAGAATGTAGGTTGAAAATAGATAGGGGGCGGGCAAGAATAGTATGGGAAATGTAGAAGCTAAAGAACTCATAAGTATGACACATGGACATGAACTAAAGGGGGGGAACATGGGTGGAAGAGGGGGTACAGGGTGGAGGGGAGAGAAGGGGGGAAATGGGACAACTGTAATAGCATAATCAATAAAATATATTAAAAAAAAATAAAAGGAAACAACCAGATTTCCCTGGAAATGGCATGGTAGGTAAACACCAGCACAGAGAACTATGTTCAAAAGAAAATCAAACTCCTGCACTGTCCAGAAGAAGCAGACACCTCTCGGGGACAGGGTCACTCCCTGGCACTCCCAGACTTAGGAGGGAGGAGGCAGTAATCACCTATCCCGACAAACTTGGTGGACCAACTGCTCCCTGCCTGGCACCTTTTCAGCAGCTGGAGACACAGTGGGGCAAACAAAACCACAAAGGGACAAAGGGCTGCCTTCCAGCTCCATGGACCACGGGGAAGAGCTGCAAAGAACAGAGGGGAAGGGAGGCCCTGGCCGGGCAGCTCAGTTGGTTGGAGCATCGTCCCAGTACGGCAAGGTTGCAGGTTCAATCTCCTGCAAGGTTGCAGGTCACGGCACATACAAGAAATCAACCAGTGAATGCATGAATGAGTGGAACAACAAATCAATGTTTCTCTCTCTCTCTCTCTGAAAGCAATTTTTAAAAATTCAGAAAGCAGAAAGGAAAAGAATAGAGGGGGAAGGAACCTGGGGTGACAAGGGAAGGGCCTTTGAGCAGACACCTGAAGGAAGTGAGGGGACAAGTCATGTGACTGGCTCTCCACAGGAAAGGCAGCTCAGTACTCACAACCTGATGGTTGGGGCTGGGAGGGCCAGGACCCAGAGAGTATGGAAGATCTTAGTAGGGATCTGGGACTTTCTGTGACGCCACCAGAAAGCTGCAACCCAGGACACAATGAGATTCACAATGAGAGTCTCCCATGGTCCTGCTGGGAGCTACAGTGTAACTCACCCACATTCAAGGATGCGGGCCCAGAGAACCCAAATTTCCCCCTTCTGGGCTGGGCAGCCTTTCCAGCTCCACTTGCTTTCAGAGGGCAGCAAAGTGTCTGCACCACAAACCCCGTCAACCTCTACCATCCTTTGCCTCCTGCCAGGGGACCTGGCCTCCTCCTCTGTTCCTTTGTGCAGGTGGTGCACACAGCTTGCACACCAGAGTCAGAGGGAGGGCAGGAGAAGCAGAGCCAGAACACTGAGCTAGTTAGAGTGCACCCTCTAGAATAATAAGGCCTCAGACAACCAGAAACTTCAAACACTGCATTTGCATGTGAACTGAAGGTTACTTGACTCCAGCTGGGGCAACTCAGCTTCCAAGACCCAAAACAAAACCTGGTTCCTGAGCGCAGATAAGGGGGTGCAGGAGCAAAGAGATGGATAACTGATCACAGTCTTGTTAGAGTGTATGTGATGGGTCCAAAGGCAAGGCCACAGCTCAGTCAAACTGCCCACGGATATTTAAATCCCCAGCAGGCCCAGGCCTGGGGATGAAGCAGAAGGCAGTGTCCGCTGTGTTCAGATGGCAGGGGAGGGGGCTGAGGAGTGTCCAGTACCCACCTATCCCAGTTCTGCACCCGCTGTCACAGACGTGAACCCTGATTATCCTGATGTTGGAGACAAAGAGGAGACCGAGTTAAGAGTGAACAGGTGGTTCACAAAGTGTTAGACTGTTTTCATGCCACCACTGCCTTAAAGCCCAGATGTTTTTTTACACAAAACATTGGGCAAGCAGGTTTTCTCGCCTGAGAATTCAGAAAGGCTAGGGGCAACTGGGCCGGTGCAGCCCCTGGGAAGCCAGGCAGAGCAGTCTGGGGCATATCTTCCTGAGCCCTAGCCACCTCCTTCCCTGCAGCAAACCAAGTCCCCAGCCTCTAAGCTGAATGAGTCTGAGGGGAAGGGTGCCGGGGTTTCCAGGGCTGACTACTACTTAGAAAAGCAAGGGACAAGCTCTTTGCTCTGCTCTCTGGAGGTGCTCAGAGTCAGCGGCACGCTTTGTGTAAGATCAGATCCCGTCAGAGGGAGGCTGTGTGTCCAGGACAGAGGAGGCGGTCAGGCAGGCCTCGGAGCCTGGAGGGCTTGGTGGAGAAATGGCTTCTGACTGACAGCTCTTAGCTCAGGTGCCATTTCCCTGGAAGCCAGCAAAAACATTTGCCTTGATACACAGAGAGAAAAAAGTTTTCAAAATGTCTGTCTCTGAATATGATGAAAAGTTTGAAGTAAGTATTTGAACAGCTCTCTGCCTAGTTTCCAGGATCAATATGTTGTTAGAAGGTTTAGATGGCTGGACTTGGGCTCCCACTTCCCGGAAACCACTGACAAAAAGAATCACAGAGGAGGGCAAAGAATGTCTTGAGAATGTTCATCAGTGTTAGTTACAACAGCAAAAATCCACAACCTGCAAGTGCCTCTACTAGGGAAGTGGGGAAATGAACTACGCCTAAATGATGAACTGTTTGTTGTACCACCATTAAATCTTGTTTGCAAAGAAGACTCACTAACGTGGGGGAAATAAAATATGTGAAGAGAAGAAAGGCAGAAAATAAGACAATGAACATGCCGGGGTCCCACATTTGGGGTTAACTGTGCAGAGAGAAAAGCCTGGGAGGCAAATCAGCTGTGACTACAAGTGACTTATCCTTTCTTCTTCATATTTCTAATTTTCTTTTTTCTTTTTCAAACGCTTTATTCATTTATTTTCAGAGAGAGGAGAAGGGAGGGAGAAAGAGAGGGAGAGAAATATTGATATGTGATAGAAACATTGATTGGTTGCCTCTTGCTCACCCCAGCTGGGGACTTAAGCTGCAACCCAGGCATTCACCATGACTGGGAGTGGAACCGGCGACCTTTTGGTTTTCAGGCCAGTGCTCAATCCACTGAGCCACACCAGCCAGGCTACTTCTTCTAAAATTTTTACAATAAATGCATATTACTTAAAAATTGGATGGGGGAACATCCCCCAAACAGTATCCATTTTTTTAAAAGCAGGTAAGATTTAGAACAACAGAACTGATGTGTGGTAATGTGGTGGTTAATGCAGTAGAAAATAAATTCCCAAAAGCCATTACCTGATTCTCTCAAGAGCTACACTCTGCCCTGACCAGTATGGCTCAGTTAGTTGGGTGCTGTCCTGCAAAGCACAGGGTTACCTATTCCATTCCCAGTCAGGGTATATGCCAGGGATGCAGGTTCGGTACTTAGGCATGTACAAGAGTCAACCAATCAATGTTCCTCTCTCAGATCAATGTTTTTCTCCCTCCTCCCCCCTCACTCCCCCTCTCTCTAAAAATAAATAAAGTCTAAAATAAACCCCCAAAACAAAAAACTATGCTCAATTGTATAAAGTCCCACCTGAGGCTTCAGATGACTATTTACACACAGCAAGAACATCATCTTTTCTAAAAAAAAAAAAAAAGATTTTATTTATTTTCAGAAAGAGGGGGAGGAAGAGAGGCAGAGAAACATCAATGTGTGGCTGCCTCCCACATGCCCCCAATAGGGGACCTGGTCTGCAACTCTGGCATGTGCCCTGACGGGGAATTGAACCCGTAACTCTTTGGTTCACAGGCTGGCACTCAATCCACTGAGCTACACCAGCCAGGGCAACAACATCATCTTTACAGAAAACTGTTTTGGCCTCTGACAGCTCTCTTCTCAGCATGTATGAAGTGGCACCAGTTTGGAAGCACCAAAGAAGCTTCTGGACATTCCTTACATCTTGGGTGTAGTGAATTTCATCAGCTTACTTTTCCTAAAAGCATCGAATTACTCAAAGCCTGCACTCTGGAGCATTGCAATGAGAGGATGTGAGTATAAACCACTTCTCCCTGTCATGAAGAAAATGGCCCACTGGTGCCCCTGAAAGGCACCACATTCGTTTGGGAACTAGAATCTTTCCCACCCGTGGAGAGAGGGTGTGTTGACTGGAAAGCGTGCTCATTTAAAGAGCAGGTACCGGTAGTTTGTTCTGTGCCACCAGCTCTTTCATTTATTACCCAGGGTAGACCTTAGCAGCAAGCGTTCTGGAGTGGGCCAGAAGTGAAGGGATAAACACTCTCCACAGGCAGCATTTTGATGCATCTGCTGGTACAGTATAGCCCAGGATGCTTGGTGGCAAGAAAGGCAGAAGGGCACAGAGGGCAGGAGGAATTTAAAGGGAGCCACTGAGCCCAAGGCTAGCCAGTGAAAGCCTGGTGCTGAGCCTCCCCTGGGGCCTCCCAAGGGCCACCTCCTTGGGAACCCACCCGTCCCCTAAGGAGAGCCTCCCTCTGCTGCCATGCTGGCTCTGGGGAAACTCCTCCTAGGGATTCCTCCTGCTGGCGCTGGTCTTGGACACCAGGCTCTGCTCCCAGTGCCAGTCTAGCCTCAGTCCTGGACTAGGGATTGCTGACACCCCCAGGACAGCTCCTGTACCCTGTGTGTGATGCCCAGGACTGACCCCTCCCCTCCTACGTGTCCCCAGTGCCTGCTCCTGAATTCCAGACTCCTTGTCCTCCTCTCATTTAGGACTCCTAGTGCCCAACCAAAGTGAATGCCCCTGGGAAATAAAACACCGGGAAAAAGAAAGTAAGAGCAAGGTCTCCGAAATGCAAAAAGCATTTGACAACAGCCCTGGGCCAGGTGTTCTGGAAGGCACTGGAGGAGGGCAATATTTAATTCAAAAGCCAAGCCCCAAAGGCTCAATTCTCGCCTCCACTGAGATGTCCAAGCACTGAGTGTCTTGAGCACTGAGGGGAGGGGACCTCAATCACCTCACAGGACAGAAGCATCACCAGTTTGAGCTGGGATGCAGGGTAAGGTGTGGGTAAGAGGAAAAAAGCCCATTTGTCCACTTCTTCCCTGCAAGCCAAACTGCACAGTGAACCTGCAAAAAACGCTTCCATACTCACTGGCATGGTTTTGTCTCCAAAGAAATAAATGGTCTTATAGCCGTCATTTTCCACATGTCCCAGGCAATACCTCTTGTCCCATCCATCAGGAAAAACATCAAAGCTGATCTGGCCTCCTGCCAAGTGAGGGGGGGACACAAAAGTTAAAGGTAGAAAGGAGGCTAATAACCTGTCACTGGAAAAACGTGCCATTTACTTGTGTCAGCAACTGGATTGCATGGTTCATTTACACTGCTTTAGGGATAGGTTCTAGTTCATTCTACCTTATGAGTTTTTCCAACATTATTTCATCTAAAATCTAGAAACGAGGCCTGGAATATCAGCTCAGAAGGAGGGATGCATTTGCATTTAGATGCTCTGTCAAGAGCTGGGTGTAAAGGAAGCTTGGGGTGGGTGGGGTGGGGGGGTGATCTGATAGGATTCAGCTGTGCTCATCTCCAGCTTCAACACATTGCATTGCAGCTCATTGTGCTGGAACAATGAAAATCACCCTGGCTGGTGTGGCTCAGTGATTTGAGTGCCAGCCTGTGGACCAGGGGGTCACTGGTTCGATTTCTAGTCTAGGGCACATGCCTCAGTTTCAAGCCAGGTCCCCAGTGTGGGGCACTCGAAGAGACAAGCACACATTGATGTTTCTTCTCTCCCTCTCTTTCTCCTTCCCTTCCCCTCTAAAGATAGATAAAATCTTAAAAGAAAAAAAATGAAAATCACCTGGGAGGTGATTTATAGGCAGCTTTCACAGGCAACAAAATCCCTTTCGCAGCTTTGTCACAGAAAGATGTTCATCTCACAGTTCAAGAATACTTAAAAACCCACCCATTCATCTATTATATACCATCCCTCCGCATTTCCATTTCCCCACAACCCCACATTTATTAGAGCCGGTAAAGTGGAAGGACTTTAAGTGATGACTCATAGGCACTGACAGGAGAAACCAACTCGCTTAAAGCATTTGACGGGCATATTCCACCAAAAAACAAGCCTGAGACATCAGTGTTGAGGGATGAAGTCTGTCTCAGCCACAAGAAACATTCGAGTGCTGGTCTATCATGGCTAATAAAAGTCTGGTGAGCCTAGACAAGTCCCTCACTTCCTTTCCTTTTCCCTTTCCTTTCCTTCCATCATTCCTTCCTTCTTTCTGTTTTTCGCTCTTCCTTTCTTTTCTTCCTTCCTTTCAAGATTTTATTTATTTATTTTTAGAGAGAAGGGAGAGAGAGGGAGAGGAACATCAATGTGTGGTTGCTTCTCATGTGCCCCCTACTGGGGACCTGGCCTGCAACTCAGGCATGTGCCCTGACTGGGAATCAAACCAGTGACCCTTTGGTTCGCAGGCCCAAGCTCAATCCAATGAGCTACACCAGCCAGGCCTTACTCCTTTCTGGGCCTTGGTTTCTTGATGTGTGGAAACAGCTGAGCTGACTGCTAAGGTTCCTTGCCTTTTCCAAACAGTATGTGATTCCAGAACATATTAAGTCTAATATATCTAGGAAGCTCTCATCCCATTTCTCTGCTATGGAGTTCACTAATATCTTCTGCCCAAAGGTGTGAGGATAGTTCTTTTTTTTTTTTTTAAGATTTTTAGAAAAATTATTTATTTTTAAAGTAAGGGGAAGGGTGGGAGAAAGAGAGGGAGAGAAACATTAATTCACAAGAGATACATCGACTGGCCATCTCTCACATGCCCCCAACTGGGGACTTGGTCTGCAACTCAGGTATGTCCCCTGACTGGGAATTAAACCATCAACCTTTTGGTTTGCAGGCCGGTCAATCCAGTGAGCAACACCAGCCAGGGCTGAGGATAAGTTACTACTTGGCGTTAAACAAAATGCTCTTATTCTGACCATGAGAAATGCAGGGAGGAAGACTCTTGCTGGATAAGAACTTAGAAGTAAGCCCAGAAGCCCAGAAGTCATTTCCTAGCTGGGCAAGTCTCTTCCCCAGCCCACTACACAGGACAGTAGTTTGCCCTAATTATGACTTCTCTTTAAATCCTCCTGCCCACCTTAAAAGTGGGCACAATGCAATTTCAAGCACCCACCAGCCCCTGCCAAACTGTTGGCAAAGCTTGAAACCCATTTGAACATACAATACCTATGGAAAACGTGAGGCCTTTTCCTGCAAACTCTCTTCGCAGATCTGCTACAAATTTTTGTCTTATATTTTCTTTCTGAGAGAAACAAAAAGATAATGATTGTCCACTGGGTTGCACACTTTAACTATGGCCACAAAGTGGTACCTCTTATCTTCACAAAGCCAGGATATGTCAGAAAAACTCACTTTGTCGAGTTCATAGAACTCAATGCGTTCTTCTTGGCTGCAGCTTCTTCCAATAGGGGACACATTTAACATTCCGTTTCGGAATTCAATGAAAGTACCCCTGGAGAGAAAAAGGGGACAGGTTCCTGAAGTACAAGATTTTTGGACAACATTATAGATTGATAATTAGGCTAAAAAGTTGGGTGACTCCAAAAGACAGAGGCTGGTATGATCCACATGTGGCTACTGAGCCTTGAAATGCAGTTACTCTGAACTGAGATGAGATTTCAAACACTTAATGGGAAAAAGGAATAATGTTTTATATTGACTATGTTAAAATAATTTGGAATATATTGCAAGTAAAACATATTTGGAATATATGGGGCTAAATGAAACATACTAAAATTAATTTCCTGTTTCTTTTTTTAACATGGTTACAGAAAACTTAAAATTGCAAGTGTTGCCCTCACAGGTGTGGCTCAGCGGTTTGGGTGTTGTCGCATAGACCATTAAGTCTCCAGTTTGATCCCCAGTCAGGACACAAGTCTGGGTTGAGGGCCAGGTCTCTGGTTGCGGGCGTGTGAGAGGCAACCGATTAATGTCCCTCTCACCCATCAATGTTTCTCTCCTTCTCGTTCTCCCTCACTTCTTCTCCTTCTAAAAATAAATAAATAAAAATCTTAAAAAAGACTGCATGTGTGGCTCACATTGTATTTCTGTTGGACAGTGCTGTCATTGGGCTCAGAATTTCATAGTTAATACAAAGCTATGGAAATGATGACCAGCTCTCCAAGTTCCCTGAGAGTTTGAAAATCTGTCTCAGACAACCTTGCTAGTGACCTCTTGAAGACACTGATTTTACGAAGTGATGCGACACAGGAAAAGGTTCCGAGAACCACCCCATAACCCTCTCTAATAACTGAGGAAATGCAAGTTACCCATTGGCAGACTCTTATTCAAGGGGTTGCTTTGACCACAGAAAACAAGAACAGCCTGACAATTTTTAAGTTACTTTAACTGAATAGGTTTAAAAAAAAACAAAACAAAACACCTTTCCCCACCATGTTTTCACTTTGAGCCTCAAAAAGATTCTTTTAAAAAATTTTATTTATTTATTTTTGGAGAAAGGGGAAGGGAGGGAGAGAAACATCAGCATGTGGTTGCCTCTCGCATGCCCCTAACTGGAGACCTGGCCCACAACCCAGGCACATGCCCTGACTAGGAATTGAACTGGCGATCCTTTGGTTCACGGGTCAGCACTCAATCCACTGAACCACACAAGCCAGCAAAAAGTTTCTTAAAAATTCAAACAGCTTGTAAGCTACTCATTCTGACAATGCAACTGAAGTGTTCTGTGACAGACTATGCACTTTGAAGTGTCTTCCAGTTCTGAACACTGATGTCTGAGGCTCTGAAACATTTCCCCTAGACTCCTGCTTTTTCGGGCACACAGCCCTGATGTCCAGCCATCGGCCACTTGTAAACACTAGGAGGACACAGGCCAAGCGTGGAGCCGAGGACCTGTTCAAGGCCAACATCACCTCTCACTAGGCCGTGTGACTCTGCGCCCCTCTCTGAGCCTCACAAAGGGGCTATCAGCACTCGCTCTGGTTACCTCTGCAGGGTCTTGTGAAAATCAAAGGTTCCTGTTTATGTAAAAGTAATTTGTATACTGGGAAACAGTGAATACTCATCAAGTAAACTAAAAACAGTAAAACTGCAATCACCAGATCCTGTTCCTGCTATGCTTAACTTGCAGAGATGTAACATGTGAGCCTACGCCACTTTCTCAAAATCCCCATCTGAGTGGTTCTGGAGTTGGTGTACACCAGCCCCGTCCCAGCCTACTCCTCCTACCTGTACACCAGGGGACGAGGAGACTGGTGACCATTCCCAGGGCGACCCTAGGGCGACCCTAGGGCTGCCCATCCTAAACAGTCAGAAAAAGAGCTCAATTATTTTCCCCAACTCAAGGACATAGTATTACTCTCATTCCCATGGTACAAAGGGAAGTCGATGCACCTTAGACAGCCTTCTGCTTTAAAAATCAGAATTAAGGTGGTTTCCCAAGCAGTCAACTCCTCCCTGAAGTCTGGCTGCATCTGCCTGACCTACATGGGGCACACTAGCTATACTGCCGAGAAACGAGGGCAAATGCTCATCGAGGTGGGTCTCAGCTCTGCCTCCCAAATCACCAGGCACGTCATGCTAATTCGGAATTACAGCTCCGCACCTGGGTCTCCCTCATTAGATGGCACCTGTCTGAGGACAGCATTCTGCCTCATCTTTTATATCCTTCCTTAATGCTTAGTCTAAGGTGAAGACTAAGCTGACCTAGGAGATAAGATCCAGTTTTACTTTTCACCATGGAGAATTTCTAATACACACAGAAATAGACAGAGCAGGATAATGAGCCCCCATGTGCCCTCACCCAGCTGCAAGCTGGGTCCAGCCTGTCTCATCCCATGGGACCAATTGGAGAAGGAAAGCCCTTTGCCCACTGATTGGAGGTGTTGAGCAGGGGCACTTGTTCCATCAATTCTGACAGTCTCAAAAGTACAGCATTATCCTGAAGTTTGCCTTTTAAACAATGTTTCTCCCCCTGATCATAGGTGTTCCATATAAAAGGCAGAACACTGACAAGAAAATGAAGTATTTCAAAGAAACTACCTGTACCCTCACCACTAAGAAACAGCCCCTGTTAATGTGTATCCATTTCTTGCCAATTTTTTTTTAAATCCTCACGAGTAGACATATTTATTGATTTTAGCAACAGATGGAGAGGGAGAAACATCGATGGGTTGCCTGCAATCAGGAAGTGAACCTGCAACCCTTTGGTGCATGGGATGATGCTGTAATCACCTGAGCTAGGGCTCCTGCCAATCTTCTAACTGTGAGCTGTATGTACATTATGTTGTTATTTAAGAATGGAGTGGGATGACAGATCCAAGAGGTAGGTTCCCAAATCAAATGCATACAAAAATCAGAAAAATAAGTGAAGTGGCCTGTGAAAGACTGGAGGTGGGGTGGTGCTGCTATGTGGAATAGGGCATCCATCTGTCAGCTCTTCATATGCAACAGAAGCCAGAATTCCAGACATTTCAAAATGGAAAATCAGACTTTTAAATGACAACAGTTAATTTAGGCATGATTTAATGCTGTGGGACAACCAAACTGGGCTTTGTGTGGGATTTGGTCTGCTGGTCTCTGGTTCGAGATGTCCAGGTCTGGGCTTTATGTTGCTCTTTTCACATTGCTGATTCACAGGTGCTTCCCCTAACTGGTAGCCTTTGAAGGTATATTGTTTTCAATTTCCATCAAGTGGACATGCTGTCCTTTATAAGATCATTCTTCTACCACTGACTTTGCAGAAGGTTTCCAGTGATTCTTTATTAAGCACTGGGCTTTGGACTTAAATGAGCACCACCCACCCAAAGACGTCACTCCATATTCTGTTGAAGCCTCTTTGCTAAAGGCAAACCCACCTCTTCTTCGGGAGTTTAATTTTTGCAATGTAGCTCAGACAGTAGTTGATTAAGTCTTGGATTAGGGCCTCACCCAAGTGACCTTGAATATTCTAGGATAAAGAAAATACTTGAGTTACTCAATTCAGTGAGAGGAATTTTCAAAAAGGTCTTCAGCCACTAGCAGCTGAGGATCACTAGGCAGATGCAGGAGTGAGGGTGACTAACCCACCACCTTTTTCCTTCTTTCCCTTTGTTCTCTAGTTGAAAACATTAGGCAAAATGGTGAGGGCATAGTCAAAAGCACTTTCAGCTTCATTAGTCAAGATTTTTGGATTCGTTGTCTTTCAAATGCTTAATGGAAGGCCTAAAGAGCTTATTGCTGCTGCTTTTATTCAACCAAAATATATACTAATTCTGATAGAAAATTTATATACCCCACTTTGGCTTTCTCATGTATGTGATGGAATGATCCTAATACTAATAAGAGCTGCATAGTACTTCTTAATATGCTTGTAGTGAGGCAGCTTGCCCTAGTCTCTGCTATAGCAATAGAAATATTAGACTATGTATCCTTAAAAAACAATTATAAAAATAAAGTTAACAAGTTGGATATGTAATAGTCCTATAGTTCAACAATCAAAATGTAAAATATACAGGGTGAAGATTTAGCCCCCCCACCCTTCAGCTCCCAAATATACTTCCCCAGAGGCAGACAGTGTCAAATATCTTTTCAGAAAACATTTTACTAGTAGTAGACAGTTTGGATACTCAAGAACCTACCTGTTTACCCAAGAGTTTCCCATCTTTGTATGCTACCAAGCCATTTTCTGGAAACACATAATCATATTTTTCAACCACTGCAACCAAAACAAAATTCAATTGAAACTTGTTTCTATTTCTTGATTAACACTTATTACCAACTGCTAAACTCCAGTGAGGGCTCTGAAAGAAGACCTCATCTTCACAGACTGAGAGAGTTTCTAAAATAGGTTTATCAGTCCCTGTAGACCTACTGAGTCATAATCTACAGTGAAAGGCCTATAAAAATCTCCAGCTTCCTGGGGTCCTGCACTGGTGATTGTGGTTCAGTAGGGTATGGGGTAGCCTGGGTGACTTATGACAAAGGGAACTCTAGGACACACTGTGTTAGGACAATGGAGAGGAGGTCCCTAGCCTCAGAGGGCACCCAAGGCAATGCTTGGGTGAGGACAGTCAGGAGACAGGGCCTGAGCTTGAGGCCAGAAGGGCAGTGGATGGGGACAAGAAGTATTAAGGGCAAGGACACAGACACTCACCATTCTAGGTGAATCTACCAGCAACTCTAGAAATTTATTTATAGGATTAAAAACAGAAGAAAATAAAGACAGTAAAAATGTTTCCCCAAACAAGGAAGCAGGGGTGAAGGTTCAGGGCTACCATTCTCAATATCCTCCTAAGAAGTTAATCTTTTACCAAAACGTAATTAGCAGTGTATAGTTTACCGTCATTTCCCAGTTGTTCCTGCACTTTCTCCAAGTCCGAGCCACCTACTACTCCGATTTTGACCTTCTGTCTCAATTTTTGTAGAAAATCATCCATTTCTTTGGTAATTTTCTACATTTCAAAATGGAAAATACAAGAGTTATAAGCTATAAAGTAATCAGGAGTCTAAAACTGCAAAAATAGAATGCTTTCATATATGCCAATCCCATTTCTAGATCAATAGGTAATTCCAAATATTTTAGCTATAATTTTGGGACATCCACTTTTTACCAGAAAAAATTTTTAAATTTTACTTATTTTTACCTCATTTAAAACATACACTATATTAACACCTGCCATGTACTGTTCTATGCATTTATATATTTGGCTATAAGCATATACATATATAAATGTCTTATTTCTTGAAACACAAGTGGACTCAATTCATGTCTTCTGCAGTGACGTGATTTTTCATGTGGTAATCATTCCATACCACACACACCGAGATCTAGTGCTTCCTTTCAAATGCTACATTTTACTCCATCTACGGATTTAAATTGTTGACTTTAAAACAAAGGAACATAATCAGATTAAAAGGAAGTTCAGAATGATTATGATTACACAAAAAACACTCTAACAGATTACTAGGTTTTTTTTTTTTTAGTCTTTTCCTAAAAGAAATGCTTCTTTTGCCCTGGCTGGCGTAGCTCAGTGGATTGAGCGCAGGCTGCGAACCAAAGTGTCGCAGGTTCGATTCCCAATCAGGGTACATGCCTGGGTTGCAGGCCATGACCCCCAGCAACTGCACACTGATGTTTCTCTCTCCCTCTCTCTCCCTCCCTTCCCTCTCTAAAAATAAATAAATAAAATCTTAAAAAAAAAAAGAAATGCTCCTTTCTATACACAGTGGATTCAATGGAATAATTTTATGCTCATTAAATTCCAAACTGTGTGCTAATTCAAAATAAATTGTAAACCAAGATGAAAAGATATCCCTGTATTAACACAAATCACAAATTTTTAAAAGTCTTATTTCATTACTTTTAGCAATCTTAATTATTAAAATTGTAAACTTACATGGAATATCTTTACAAATAGTTACCAGAAATTAAAAACAAAAGCAAAAACAAACCATTTAAGTCAATTTGAATATATAAACATCTAGAGTTCAATTTTCTCTTTTTATTAAGAAATGTTTCAGAGTACTACATATGATTAATACAAAGAAATTGTACAGAAGGGTTTAAATAGAATGCAATCTTGTTACCATCTTCCAGTGGAATCTTGACCTGGTAGACAAAATCTAGAATCACATTTAGCAGCCTCTCAGACTCAGTGACCATGAAAAGGAGTCCCTGAGTCCTTCAAGTGGTTTACTCAGTCTTGACATCAGAATGAGGGGAAGTGGGAAAGACTCCTTTGATTGCAAAATATTATAAATGGAATACTAACAATAACAGCAGCATCAATACTTCCATCTTCAAAGAGAAGCCTAAGGAAAAAATTTTATCTTACCCTTGTGCACACTGATTAGCTAAATGGTATTGTGGTCAGCCATCAGACCTGTTCTGCAGTATGAATGGGTTGTAGAAGGTACCTTTTCACTTCCAAGGGCAACAAATATTTAACAGGAAATACAATCCAGCTGCTTGTGACCACAACAGAACCTCTAAACTATATCCCACTGCAAGACAGATCTTTAGAGCAAAATTGTTGTGATGTTCCCAAGTAACTCTTGTGTTAATAATTACAAGGAATTCTTTATCAATCAATCACCCTAGACAAAATTATTAAGGTGGGAAAATGTTAAAAATTCACCTTCTAGAAAAAAAATCATAAAAGCCTCTTTTGAGACAACTAAGGAAAACTGAGTGGAACGGAGGAAGAATCAACAAAATAGCAACTGTGGGCCAGAATAAGCCACTGCCTGTTTTCCTGTAAAGTATGACCAAAACACAGCTGTGTCCACTCATTTACTAAATGTCTAGAGCAACAACAGAGTTGAGTACCAGTAGCTGTGACAGAGACCACGTGGCCTGGGAAGCCCTAAGTATTTGCTACCTGACCTTTTACAGAAAAAGGTCTGCCAACCCGTAGACTAGGGTATTTAATAATACTAAGACATTGGTGAATTTTCTTAGGTGTGATGATTATTCTGTGCTTATGACAGATATCCTGTCCTGAACAGATGCAGGCTCAAAGTTTAGGAGTGAAGTACTCTGATGATGGCAGCTTAAGAAACGGTATTGCAAAGATTGAAAAAAAGAACCTGGAGTTAATGTAAATCGTTGTTGAACTTAAGTGGAGGG